GTTAGCCCGTGTATGTGGAGTAACCAATGTACAGGAGGCCTGTGATGGTGAGAAGGGCAGCTGATCAATTAAAAACAAACAAACATACAAACAAACAAACAAAATCTCCCAACAAACTACAACCCTCCCCAAAAAGAAAAAAAGCCCAAACCAAAAAACAAACCCCAACCGTTATTTGTCGCTCCTTTGCTGGCAGTCAGTTCTAAAGAAGAAACTTCGAAAGACTGCATGTCAGCAAGGATAGGAGGGGCAGCAGTGCAGATGTACTGCCTGGGTTCATCCATCATTACCTAGCAAATGAGCCGACTAGCTTGTGGGCAGGTACAGAAGCCCTGGCAGGCAAGCAAGAGAAGAGATTATTTTTGCATATCTTCTGCGAATCTCCAGGGAATTCAGTGTCATTCCTTATCTCAAAAGCTTGTAATTAAGAGGATGGCATCTTTGGGCTGGAGAATTCCAGAGAAAATCATTTTCACAGCACCTAGAGGGCTCGATGTTGTGCTTGATGACAGATGGGAAACCTTTATGAAGGCTCCATAACCTCTTGCCCTCAGAGACTGTACTTTTGACACTGCAGAAATTGGGAGGATATAGATGTTTTTACTCGGGTGATAGTGTGGTAATTTTTTAAAACGACGAGTAATTTATTAAAGTATTTTAATGAACTATACAAACAGCGAAAACCTGACAAAGCTTGTGTCATTGCTGAGAGCGAAAACATAACTATTAACTATAGAGTGTTTTGCTTATGGAGACTTTTCTATTGCACGCAAATAAGATATAGGAAAAGACTAGCAGATAGAATTTCATGTTTCATCTTTTCAGATCATGACCTCAGGAGTGTCATGCCGTTTCCATTAATCCTTTTCTCAACTTAAAGATCCCTGTGAATATGAATAAAGTTGTATTTTAAAAACGAAAGAAAGAGAGAAAGAGAAAACAAGACTCATTCACATTCCGAGTCTGCTTTCTGTCTCACACGTATTACATTTCACAAAACAGATAGAAACAATAGAGCTTATTAAGAAAAACTTGTTTTGAATGGCAAATTAAGCATAATGAAAATACACACGTTTTTACAAGTAGTTATTTTTTACACCAATTGAATATTTTAAACCTTTTTAAACTATGTACTTGTCTCTGAAAAACGTTTTTCATTTAGCTCATTTACACCATATCACCCTGCTATATATTTTTATTTAAAATTTTAATTCAGTCAGTTCAGCAACCTGGATAAGCACAGCACCTTGTCTTTGGCCAGGCAGTAACCAATAGGGATGCCCTACCCTGGATATTTATGAGCAATATCAGTGTTGATTTCCGGGCTGAACAGGCTGCATGCATGGATTGCTCCACACTATGGCATCTTAGGCAGGATAAAATTTATTATATTAGAGCAGGTATCTCGGCATTCATCTTTGATCCAAATACCTTTTTAGTGCAGTGTAAATTATCAAAATAGATATAATAGTTTGTTTCCAGCTTGAAAAAATATATTGAAGTCAAGAAACAATCCAAGAATCTTTTAATGAAAAGTAAACTTGACCTAATGAAAACTTATTTCTGCCTTTTATCCTTATGTACAAATGTATCAGTTTGGCATGGCCTAGTTTTTGGTAGCAGGGGGCCACAAACAAACCATGACAACAGTTAAAAAAAATACAGATAACAGCAAAGGCAAGTTTTTATCTCCATCCCCCATATCTCTAAATTCAGATGCACATAAAAAAGGGTACAGAATTTATCTTGAATTTTGCTGTATACTGTAAATGTCTTCCTAATATGCACAAATCTGTGTATCTAGTATATAAAATCTCTTAAAACATAAAGGACTAAAATGTAGAGCATTAAGGTGGACTGCATTTTTCTATTTCTTAGGTATTACAGCGATCTGGGGATTTATTTTTACAGCCTGAGATGTCAGTATGCCACAGAAGCATGAAAATCTCACCATCTGTATGCTCATGGACAATCTCATCAAGTACACTCAACGACAGACTTAGAATAACAAAATTTAAACGCTATTACTACCGCCTAGCTGTACATGCACTCAAATCTATTTTAAATAGCATTCAACCTGAGTTATCATGCTGCTTACCTCAGGCCTAAACCAGTTTATTCCCTTTTAGTGTTTTCTAATTCCCATGAATCCTGCTGTAAACCAGGCACATGCTATTTGAAATAACATTTGTTTAATTAAATGTGAGGTTACACACAGACTTACATCATTTAATTTGGCCAAGTGCTGATCCATAACCCAGTGAAGGTTCAGGAGTCGAGCAACAGCTTCACCTGGCAGTTTACCTAATGTGCTGGGCAATGTCCTTCTGGATATGTGTTTCTTGTCAGTGCCAGAAAGCAAGGATATGTTTTAGTTGGAACTCTGTTATAACAGACACTACATAGTTTAGATTAACTCCTTTCAGTAGTACAGCATCAATGTGTTATTGCCTTAACATAAAACATACAGATTATGTAAATCTGTAATAAATACTATTTTGAAGTGTATAGTAATCAAAAATCTTTCAGGGCAGGATGGAATGGAAACTGAGAAATATTGGAGAGTAAACATTCCAACGCTCATTCCTCTGCTTCTCCCTGGCAGAGCGGAGAACTTGCTGTGGCTGGGCTGCTAATGCTCCAGCCTGGGGGTTTGCCCTGTGAGTCCTGCGGAGCATGGACTTCCTGGGAAAGCTGGGGCCAAAGAGATCCTTCAGAAATAATTTCTGCTGTCTCTGTAGACCCTGTTGCACTGTTTGTGAAAGGGAATGGTCATTCCTGGTCTGAGAGAAGGCCAGGCCTTTTAGTATCTCTTCACAAGGTACACACTGTGTACACGCAGAGTCATTCAGGCTTGCAAGGCCAAGCAATCCGAGAGGCAAAAAGCAGTGGTGAAGAGAGGCCGTACCATTTGCTTACTGCATGTGTTAGCATTCCGGTCTCTAGTTCCCGTGCAGAGCTGAGAGGGCAGCGGAGCCCCTGGAGTCCATCAGTAATTGGCACGGCTCTGTATTTCCCCCACCTCGGCGGCCTGGTCTGGGGTGCGGCAATAGATTGTCTCTCACTGGGCAACCTGCTGCTGCGCTGCCGGCTATGGCCTGGCCTCCGGTGGCTGCGGCGCGGGCAGGTCAGCCCGAGGAACCCGCAGGACTCGTACGAGGAGCTCCTCGCCTCTGCCCCTCGCGGGGAGAGCACTGCCGGGCTCCTGCCAGCCCGGGCGCCAAGGGCGAGCTCTGAAATCTACCACTGATACCCAGCAGCCTGCCAGGTCCCCCGGGTGCCGCCAGCCCCGCTGCGCGGTCCCGCTGGAACTCTCTCTGGGTTACCACCTATGCCGGGTGCGGTGCCGCCTGCTGCGGAGGGGCCGGGTAGCGTTGGGCTTGCCATGCGGCCAGCGAGAAGGAGGGATCGCGGCAGGCAGGCAGGCGGAGGGAAGGAAGGAAGGAGGCCGGGCTGATTAGCATGCAGCAGCGCTCGCAAGCCCGGCTCCATTGTTTTAACACCTCCCCTCTCCTCCGCGCCAATCTGTCACCGTTCAGCAGGCGAACGCTGCTGCCTCGAATGCTGCTCTTCTCAAATGAGACGGATAATTAGCTGCCCCGCACGAATGGCGCACTCTTCTCACCCCTGATTGCTATCACCTTCTTGCTCCTGGCAGTTTTGACACCTCGTAATCAGCCTGCTGCTTTTTCTCTTTTCTTTCCCTATTTCTGATTTTTTTTTCTCCCCCTTC